AAAAAAAAAAAAAAGCTTTCCTTTATTCAAATTGGTATGTCAGGTAAACTGCTTTTGAAGTAACCTGCTAGCCATAGTTATAAAGACAGTTGTACTGGCGGAGTGGTCTGAGGCACCCCAGGTTTGTCTCTGCATTCTCGTGTCTGTAGGCCTCGGTTGTGGATGTAGGTCCTATGGTAGAGATGTCCAGGATGGAAGAGGGACAGTCCAAAGTTTGCTGTTGTTGTGCTGGGTTGGATACATTGATCATTATGCAGAGACTTTGTGAAACAAAATTCTTGGTGAAATACTGTCGGCTTTTGGATAATTAAGAAAGATATTTTTTATGGTGAGAACCATCGCTTGCTGCAGCAGCCTCTCCAGGGACGTGGTGGAGTCCCCGTCAATGGAGGTTTTCAAGATGCAGTTGGACAGGGTGCTAGGTGATCTCGTCTAGGCTCCCTTTTCTGTGAAAGGTTGGACTAGGTGATCCTTCGAGGTCCCTTCCAACTTGGGCTGTTCAATGATTCTTTGATAATTGATCTTCCATTCACTGTTCAAGGTTGGACAGGGCTTTAAGCCACCTGACCTAGTGCAAGATGTCCCTGCGAGGTTGGACTTAATGAACTTTAAAGTCTCTTCCAACCAGACTATTACTTCTTTTTTTTCCCAGTACAATTAAAAATCCTTCAGCTTTGCTGGCAGGTGTGTCGTGTGTGTCAAACTTTGCATGCAAACCATTTACCCACAACAGTGACGTATTGTTTGCCCTGTGATTTCGTTTTCAGAGAGGTGTCTCTACACTCCAGAGCTGTACCTCATTTCTGTAGAAGTTCTCTTTAAGTACTGACAAATTGATCTTACTTGAATCCTTAAACTCCTCTTTTTTGTAGCGTGGGTGACAGTGACGTTCAGGGCAGGCTGCACTCTCAGCCCATCGGTATGGATACAGACCTGAGGGTATAAGGCTCGAGTTTGTTGAGCTTTGGATTCTGATATGCATGCTACTGTTGTGGAAGTGGTTGTAACGTGGGTGTCGGTAGAATTTGAGCATATCTTCACACACACAGTTCTTTTTAAGAACTAGGGTGGTAGGCGGCTTTTTTAAGCCGTTGGAATACCTATCAGGTTTCAGTCTGTCCTTTAAAACTTCCTTATTTGTGTTTATCTGTGTCACAGGTTCACTAGATCTGACTTCGGACCCTGCTGATGGTCTTAGCCCATCCAGAAAGAGGATCAGAACTGTCTGTAAATGCGGAGCTGTGTGTTGCAGAGGTTATCTCAACTGAGTTCGGGTATCCAAAGTCACAAAAACTTTGTTCTCTTTTAAATGTGTTTTAAGAAGACTCTTCTTTCACACATGTATTCAAGTATTCTTACATCTAATGTAAATAAGTACAGTGAAATTTGTAATTGAAATGGCATTGGCCAAAGAAAGAGATGTAGTGCTTCAGGCAAATACAGAACTGATAATGGGGATTAAAAGTTGATTTTTCTGGAACTGTTATTTAGGAAGCAGAAAAATGTACGCTAAGAAAACTCTTTAAAGTGTACCTTGATTCGAGTATTTGAGTGTGAGCTTACAGCTGTAGGCCTTTTAGGAGCTGATTTCAGTGGGATGAGGCGATGTTACTTATTTTCTGTACCTTGAAAAGTCTGGAGGCATTTGATTTGATTCCTAAATCATAGCTGACAGCTCTTCTGCTTTTCTATTGTATAAAGAAAAGCTTCAAGAGATTAGCAATAACATTTATGGCACCGGGTTGAAGGATTAAGGACAGCCCTCAGACTGTGCCTGAAGGAAGGCCTGCAGGAACGCAAACTGTACAATGCCCATTGAACCCCACACAAGTGAAGCAGTTGGTTTCAACAGGTTCCAGATGTAAGATCAAGGACTCGAACGTTTTTAGCTGATGTTATGTTATGCAGAAGTTCTGTATAAGTTTTTTTCAGTTGTATTGTTCTGATTTTTGGGCAGGATGCTATAGGAGGTCTGCAGTTCTACAGAGAATTTGTAAATACTGGATTATCGGTAGTAACATACGCTGTTTGTTTTCATTGCAGAAATTTGGAAGCCGTTGCTGAAACAAATTATTGGCTACAGTTTGGAAATAGTGACAAAAGAATAGGGAGAGCAGCCCATTGTCTGACAAAGCTGATGCATTACGGAGATATGCTCAGTTACCTGTTAGGTGCAAAAATACCCTGGGAATTGATTGTATTCACAACTGTTTCTGATTAAGTTCTGTGACTTTATTTATCTAGCGACAGACAGACTTTTAAGATACTTGGCCTGTTTTTTCTTGTTGCAAAAATGTTAACTTCAGTGAAGTTAGACTAGGGGGGAGTTCACCCATTTGCTGTAGACATTTGTAAGATTTTCTTTAATATAAAGGCTGAGAAATGTGCTGTTCTTCAGCTGCTTGAGTCTTTTTTTTCTTTTTTTTTTTTTTTTTCCTGATCATCTTAAAGTTGTCTCGATCTACTCATGATACATGCTAAGTTTTGCTTGGCTTCAGAAACACTGAAGAGCAGTCGAGGTAGGTTGTGAGAGGAGTTACAGTCAAGGTCTGTGCTCCAGGGATGATCCGAGTGCTTTATTCTCATGGATTAAAAGCTTGTAAAACTTGCATATTGCTTACAGGTCATGTAAATGTTGATAGGGTCAGGCAGAATAATGTTGCTCCCTAAACGGATGCTTCATAAATGGATGCTAGCTATGTATCATAGGTCAGCTAGTTACCTTTATAAGGTGCACAGCTGTTGGCTCAGGTGAGTGGAGTACCCAGCATATAACCGTTTACTTACTTTGTTAGAAAATGCCTTAAATTTCATATTAATTACTGGCACTCCAAGAAGAGTGTTTCAGAGGGTAATACAGCTCGTTTGTTCATTAAGAAGCACAGTTGCATTTACACTGAAGATCTGGCTCTTTGGCAGAAAGTGAAATTTTCTATGCTGCTAGCCAAAATCGGTTTCGCGGTTGGGGTGAAGAGTGTGGGCCACTGAAAGTGCTGTGTAAGTTTTGTGATCTGCAATACAAAGAGATACACGTTGAAATAGATACTTTATATGTGTAAAGAATAGGAGAAAGTTTGCTTAGATTTTAAAGTATTTGACATTACTCATTACACTTGACATAGGCTCACTGATACCCACACACTTGGATAAATGTTAAATCTAGTCAATTTTTATCATGCCACATCTCTAATGAATTATTTAATATATAAATTTGAAGTGAAATGTGGAGCTTTAATGTCAGCAAACTCTGGATGATCGCACCTCATTTGCAGCCGGTAGTGCTTGCCCTTGCGCGTGGCCGGCTCCAGCGCGGCGGTCCCCGCGGGTGGAAGCTGCAGTCTCCAGCCTCTGAACCCGCTGCAGCCGTCCCTCTCAGGACAGGAGGGCGAGAGCAGTTACGTTACCCAGTCGGTTTCTCTGGCCCCTCCTGTGCAAGGTGACAGAGGGCTGGCTCGACACTCTGTCTATGCCCAGTCTGATTGAATACTGCATGTAAACGTCTTTTAAAAGAGAAAAGTCTGAGTAGTTGTACTTGAGTGCAGCGTCGGCCTCTTTCCCAAGGCAGTGCATGTTACCACCAGCACTGGAGTAACACGGCTGTTTAAGAACGTGTGTTACCTCTCGTGCGGTAAGTGAAGGACTGTTAGTTTGTGTTCTGGGAGGAAACAGTATTTTGTATTTATTTGAAGTAAACCCATGTCCCTGGTTTCCAATTTAGAGCCTTGAACAGTATTTTATATTTACATATTCACAATGCATTTGGATTGCAGTCAGTGAATTAGCTTAATGGGACACTGTGTCACTTTTAAAACTCCTTTTGCCTTTTTTATGAGTTTGAGGAAAAATTGCCAAATTGGAAAAGGAAAAAAAAAGCTATTTTCAATTTCTTAAAGAGCCTAAACCAGCCTAGCTTCTGCCTTTGTTTTGGTTATGGTCTGAGCATCACCATGGCCACCGGTTCAGTGCTGTATATGCACTTCTTACAGACCGGTGAGCTATCCTGTAGCTGTTCTTTTGTTTGTTTGTTTGTTTTTCTGTAGCAAAACTAAAGCTGTAAGATCACCTGTAAAGAAATGCTATTGTCTATTTATTTAATCTTAAAGTTAAGTCAATCTTTTGGTTATTTCTAACGTATGTTTTAGGACTGTGTACATTAGAATATGCAGTTTGTAAGCTCAGGAATATTTTCTTTTCATAATGTGTGATCTCTAGTATTGCTATCTTCCTATAGTTTTTGATAAAATAAATTAAATTTAGTTTTTCTCTTGTTGTTGTCATTCTTAAAAAAAATAATCTTGGCCTGTCACAATTAGCGGTAGCTAGAGCAGTAGAATTTGTTTTGACTGCAACCTCTTAATTCCTGTACTGTAGCCCAATTTTCTAGCACTGTAAGGACTGTAGGGGAGTGCTCATGAGGAAGTCGTGTGTTTCCTATCCAGTTTATGGCTGCTCAGAACTGGTATAAATTTACACTGTCAGCTTGTCTAAAGCAGAATGGGTTCCTGTATATTTAAGCACACTGTAAACATAGCCCTGAATTTACACGTGTAGTACAGTTAAGGAAACAAGCCAACAGAAGAAATTCTGCTCCATATGACTTCATTCACAGAGGTAGTTACAACAGCAGTTTCTCTTGCTTTCAAGCTTGCTGGGAAAAAAAAACAAACTTGATAGACCACCCTTGGAAATTATGTCAAATCCCAGGATCAGAGTGTGCAAGGTGACAGTGGCGAAATACATGGGCTTGAATATCCTTAACACCATGTACAGAAGATAGCAATTCTTGTTCTCCCCCCGCCCCGTTCCCAGCAGTGGAATGCTGGTTGGTTTAATGCTCACGTATCGCTGAAGATGGCAGAAGGACTGAAGACACGTGCAGAGGGGAGAGCTGTCATACTAAAAGTCTGTTTAATTCTTTGGGACTTATTGTAATAAAGAATGGCTAACTAGCTTTTGGAAAACTGGCTTTTAGAAAAGAACTGCTGACCAGCCTTTAGCAATAGAAAGGAAGGCCGATTTGTACTACCCCTTATGCTTATATGCATTGCAGACTAACTAACACTTTAAAGACAAGAATGAAGCAGAATCCACCAAGCGAAGGACACCAGGTGGAATCCTCCAGTCAGACTGTGGGGCTCAAGGAACACGAAGGACTGAGCAGGAGAGATAGGGAGGGCAGCTAGCAAGAGCTGGTTCTGTGGACTGGAAAAGACCCAGGATGGTACAGGGCATGCGCCACAGGACAAGTTCAAAAGTTCAACCATGAGGAAGACTCGGACCTTCATCCCCAACGACCACCAAGGACCCCCGACGGGGGCGTAACTTCGGTGGACGGAGGCGGGACTACGGGAGGAACTTTTGTTAATGAATTCCTGGAAATAATTAGAATAACCCAACCTTTTCTTAGGAATGTAATGAGTAAACATGAAAGCTGTAAAGCTAAGCCAAGAACCCTAACGCTTGGGTGCGCATGTATGGAAGGAGCTATCCCCCGTGCTGCCCGGCGCCGCAATAAGGAATACCTGCTTAATAGCACTGAGTTGTTACTGAGTTTTCTCTGTTTCATTATGACCACATGGATTCTTAGATGACTTCTGGTGTTTAGGCATTTTTGTAGGCACTGCAGCTTAACAAAGGAGGTGACATTTGGTAATACGAGAGGCCTGACCAACAGAACAGCCTGTCCAGGATAACAGGTTAGGTCTGTTGCTGTGAGTTAGCCTCCGAGCAGGCTACTGCTGGTGGTGGCTTTGGAACCACATAGAACAGTTTGGGTTGGAAGGGACCCCCAAAGGCCATCCAGTCCAACCCCCCCTGCAGTGAGCAGGGACATCTTTAGCTGGATCAGGTTGCTCAGAGCCCCATCTAACCTGGCCTTGAATGTTTCCAGGGATGGGGCATCTACCACCTCTCTGGGCAGCCTGTGCCAGCGTTTCGCCGTGCCACAGGATTTTAAGTCTTTCTGAAGAAAATTCAGAACAAACCAAAACACGGAGGAACTGATGACAAGTTGGTTGCAAGGAGTTAGATTTAAACCATGGACAGTGGTGTATAGTACCTCATTCAGGAGTTAAAATCAGCACTTGCTCCATGTAAAAAGACTCCTTGTAAAGAACGATTTTATTAAAAAAAAAAAACAAACCACTTCTCAGTAGTTTTCTAATCTGTTCTTCAGCTGTTTTAAAAATAGCTGCAGTGAAAACTCAGGATTGAAGTGAAAGTGCAACTATTGCATTGTTTGCACGGTTGTGCCTGAAAGATGTCGTGTTCCTCCCCACAGTTAAAAATGTGGTATTTTATTAAAACCTGAGATCACATATATATTAAAGGCAAACTCTTAGACCTCACGATAAAGAGAAACACTAAATTTCATTCAGTG